ATCTTGTAATTTTTTGTTTATTTTTATTTCTGATTTTATTCACATTTTTTTCCGTTAAAAATGAGTGAGGCTGTTGCATTGTGTTGTATTTTCTCAATGAATTATGTAGCTTAATTTTTCTGCTGTATTTTCCATTTTGTTCATTTCTCCTTTTGAGATGATTATTTTTACTTTTTGTCTTATAATTTTGTTACATTTATAAAATCTCAGTTTATTTTGCTCTTGCCTTTCTTTTCATTACTAAGTTAGAGCGATATCTTTTTTTTCAATTTGTATACTTTTTGATTTGGTAGAATTTCAACTTTTTCCTAGTTATTTATCATAGAGTGGTAAATTTTTCCTTAGTAGATTTCCATATATTTTGATAAAATTGATATTTTTGATTAATATCAATCACTATTTTTCTTGATCTGGTCACAATTTTTAAAAGATGTTAAGATATTATTATATCACAGTATTTATATTAGTATATATAGTATATAACTATGTGTGCGGTTATATCTTACAGCACAATATGAACATATTTTTTACACACATTACTTCCAAGTGGGTGGACATCTTTTAATTTGTCGTGAGTACTGGGTATGTGTTTGTAATTTCTTTTTGAATTCAGTGAGGAAAATAATGACTCCTGATTTTACATGTTAATACATGGTTTGCTGTCTCATCTTTTTAGTTACTTCTCTAAAGAAATTTAAATCACATTTTATATATTTTTAGTTTTTTCTTTAGTGTATTATAAGCATTTCTTCATGTAATTAAATAATTACTTAAAAATATTTTAGTGCCTACATGGTATTGTAAACATCTTTTATAGACTATTTAATGAGAGCAATTTTGTTGGCTATTTAAATAGTGTTGCAGTAACTTTATTTGTATCTTTAATTTAAATTTTGTGTATTTTTAAAAACACATACACATGGCATGAAATTTGAAGGGAACAAAAGGAGCTGCATAGCCTGTTTCTGTCTGTCTCCCAATCTTTCTTCCCTGTGAACTAACTAGTGTTACCAGTTGTGTTGTTTTTTTTCAGGGCTACTGCTGCTGCTTTTTTATTTAGTAAACAAATACATATGCACTTTTTTGTTTTTCACAGAAATGACCATCTTTGTTCCCACTCAGTATACCATGGAGAGGATTCACATCAGTGTGTAAAAACCCCTCATTTGTGCTAAGGCTGCAGAGTGTTCCAGTACATACATGTGTCATAGTTTAAGCAGACTAGTATTTCTAGATAGTACAGTTATAATACTTTTAAATTAAGCTGTACTTATTGAAATTTCCTCCTTGTTTTTAAAGTGTAGATCTCTAGAGTGTACTCTTTCCCTCACTCCCCTCATTTGACACGTGGTTTTGCTAGTGCAGAATGGGTCAGGTTGATGACTGCCACCGTCTTACGGGAGTTACTGTCCCCACAAAGAAATGCTGAGCTTACTCCCTTGGGGGAGCTTAGGGAAACAAGGACATTAGGCATTGGAGTTGGTATTTAAGGAATCCTGAGATCAAAAACCCCAGCAGTACAAATATTTCACATTTGTTTAAAATGTGATATATAATAACATGCGTAAGACAGGAAAGTACTGCTTAAAGGATTATGAAATGAACACCTGTATGACCCCATTCAGATCAACAAATAGAACATTGCCTAAGCTTATGGGGCCTTTTTCATTTATAGCTCCTGGCGCATCTCCAGTGGTGGCCACTTTACTGACCATTATTACATTCATGTTAATTGTCTTCATAACTTTATAACCTCATTATGCATTCTTAAGCAGTGTAAAATTGTACTTATTTTTGGAACTCTTCCCTAATGATTTTAGATATCTGAAAATTCTTGCCCCTCAGAGCAGCCTTGAAGAGTCACAGAGGGTGTGTGGGAAGTGAAGGGGCAAGGAATTCTACATACGTTGTCTTAATGAAGCGCTGGGGACTCAGTCTTAGTATTATTAGGTGAACTTGAGATCTTTTTTGTACCAGGTGATGGAGCTATATCTTCACTGTTGCTAGATTCTGGAACTAGCTTTGTGTTTGGTTCTCTGAAGCACTGCTTCCTAAGCACTTATTTGCTGTGACCAGGGCATAGTCCTGCCTGGAGCTCTCTTTATATGCCCATTCCCTGTGGATTGCAAAAAAAGAAAGAAAGGGGGGGAAGGGAGAGAGAGAGAGAGAGAATTTTTGCCTAAAGCCATGCTTTTTTTCTTTCTTAATTTGTAAAAGCTATGGAGTTTTATTCAGGGCTTTATTCATAAATCCTGTTGTCTCCTTAAGGGACCTTGGAAGCTTGAGTAAATCAAAGGTTTTTCTATGGTATATAGATCATGTGTGATTTTTTAAAAAAAGATAGAATTATTCTATATAAAAAGACCATAGAAGTAATTTCTAGTTAAGTTTATAGTTGAGTTGCTTACAAAATCTGTGATGCTACTTACACCACAACCTAATACACATAAAAATATGTATTCGCGTTAAAGTTTCACAGACAGTACCTTTACTATATATAAATAATTATTCTGATATCATTTATTCTGTTCTAATTTCATTAAAAATAAATGGTGATTCATTTTTGAAAGGCATCTGTCCTGCTGAGTTGCCTGCAGGATCCTTTAATAGGTCACTGCTTGCAGTTGAGAAGGTGCTGTGATTTTCTAGAGGAAAAGATTGGCTTTGAGGGATTGATCAGAGTTAGGCAAACTAGAGTCATGGTGTGTGTGCTCAAGAGTGTGAACTTTGCTCAATTCCTGGCCTGCCACTTGCCAGTCAGAAGTGAGTAGGTATTCTTGAGCTTAAGCCTTTTATAAAATGGTAAGGGCACTTCCAACTTGGGTTTTTGAGGATCAAATGAGAGAATGTGTGGCTGTAAAGTAAGCATTAATAAACACTTGTTATTAGCCTTTATTACTTGTCTCAGGACAAATTGGAGTTTCTCTGACTTTTTAGCTCAGTGGGTTTTGTACAGAATATACTATGACAGGAATTATGGGACATTGTAAGTAATAGAACAGGTGGATGGGAATTGCTTAGTTGATCTTCTGACCTGTTAGAATTAGTTCAGGTGGCTGCTGGAGTCTGTGCTTGCAAATCTGCTAGGTTATTACGGGAGTGGGAACTGTAAAAGATGCCAGGCAGTCACAATGCCTTCAGTGCAGAAGAGTTGGACTTCCTGGTCTTGTTCATGGGCAGGAGGTTGAAGCTAAAGTATGTGTGTGTGTGTGTATAAGATCAGCTCAGAAAGGCCACAGGACATATTTGAGGTCTGTCAGGAAAAAGTCCAGGCATTGTTAGTATAATGAGAACAGTTTGCACGACATGGATATAACCTGGCAGCCAAGGAGAGTGGACTAGAATGAGCATAAGTGAACAGTGACGACTCCACTATACTAGTCAATGGGGCGTGGTAGACATCATTCACCGAGTATGGGTACTGTGTGGCCGGCACATTCACAGTGACTGAGCAAGTAGAACCACGAGTGTGCATCGAATTTTGCATGAAGCTTGAACATTCTTCCATGGAAACTATTGGGATGATTCAGAAGGCTTCTGGGGGTGATGCAGTGAGTGCAGTGCAAATGAAAGTGGCACAAATGCTTCAAAGGTGATGGAGAATCTTTCAAAGTGGTCCACGTTCTGGTACACATTTTGGAAGGCCTGCAATGAGCAGAACACCTGAGAATGTTAAATGTGTGCAGGCTGCAATCAGCGAAGACTTCTGGCTTTTCCCAAAACCAAAATCACCTTTGAAAGGGAAGAGATTTTAGACCTTTTATTAGATTCAGGAAAATACAACAGGGTAGCAGATGGTGATTGGGAGAACTGTGTGAGGTCCCAAGGTGCCTACTTTGAAGGGGACCGAGGTCATTGTCCTATGTACATTGTTTCTTGTATCTGGTATCTTCTTCGGTAAATGTCTCTAGTTTTCATAATACATGTCTGGATACCTTCTGGGTGGACCTTGTATTTTTTTGAATCTTCACTCTGCCTCCTCCCATATTTCAGTTTGAAAGTCAGTTCCTGCTCTTCTACCAGCCTTTTTAAAAAAATGACCAGCTTTTATAAAGATTTTCTAAATTTTTATTTATTTTTAGAGATGGGGAGGGAAGGAAAAAAGGAGAGAAGAAACATCAATCAGTTGCCCCTTGCAAGGCCAGCATCGAGGCATGTGCCCTGACAGAATTGACCAGCGAGCGACCTTTTGGTTTTCAGGACTGTGCCCAACCAACTGAGCCACACTGGTCAGCGTGGCCAGCTTTTATATTTTAGATAACAGTTTGTTCTTGAAGTGAATTGAAGCAAATTTGAATATTAAAATTTAAACAAGAAAATTAAATTTGTTTGAAGTCCTGTCATTTATTAACATTTGATGTTTTTTCCTTCCAGTCTTTTCGCATGCATTAAAAAAAATAGTTCTCAAATTTAAAAAAGGGTTGGCAGTAGTACTGTACATCAAGCAGTTTTATAATGAAATAAAAAACTGAACTGGTTAGGTAGCTCTAGGTCAATCAATAAGATGGTAGAGGAAGGGAGAAGGGACACTGTTGGACAGAAGAGACACTGACCTCATACCATCCCAGACTGAAGGGGTAGCCCTCGAATTAACCTGCCCTCTCAGATATTCTGTAGCAAGTAAGAATTTGACTTTAAAACTCTTACCTACTTTTTATTATTCCTCTCTTATTTGGCATGTGCTCCTTGAGGTCAGAAGAACAGGTCTTAATGGTTGATAATGTTGCTAAAATTAATATTCCATTAGGTTGCTGGTAGAGTTTCTATTTTTTGTGGCATATGAAAGCTGAACTGTTTATAACAGTTATACTAAGCATATATGTTAGTCAGTGCTTTTTAGCTGCTTCAGGTTCCTCAACCAGTGAACCCACCCAGATCCTGAGAAAAACCAGCTGTGATGCAAGAAGTTACCTGCCCTCCATGGCAGTACCTGAATGGGCCATGGTGTCTGGCCATGGTGACCTAACATGAGGCTAATCTGTTTTCTCTTTTGCCCACAGATTTTGAAGCCAGCTTCATAAGGCTGTTGGACAAAATAACAAATGGTTCTCGAATTGAAATAAACCAAACAGGTAAGCTTTTTTTCTTCCCATTCCAGAAAGCATCTACACTTGCACTACTTAAACATTCTTATGCTTCTCACTCCTTTTGATAGTATAAATATTGTATTCAGATGGAAAAAGTCCAGTTTCCTGTTTGTAATACAGTTGTTTGGAGATACACACAAACTCTGCCATTTTAAGGGGCATACACTTGATTTAAGGAAGTAAGAAGAATGAAAATTTCAGATCAACAAACAGGCATGCCCTCTTCTTTTAACAGTAAAAATATTTACTACCTAACATTTATGTACAACTTTTCACAGTGCATTTCCTTATCTTGTCACAACAAAATCCTACAGCAAACTCTATGAGGTAGTTGTATGTACTGAATTTTATTTTTTTATTTTGTCTTTAAAAATAAGGTTCAGTAAATGTGTGCAAAAACGATAAAAGTCCCTTCACCTGTTTCCTGTGTGCTCTCTCCCTGGGTGCAGCTGTGCTCGCATTTGCTTGCACGGGTATTTCTTACACCCTTGACAGGGCTGTGCTTGCCGTGTGCTGTGCAGCCAGCTTTTTTTTTTTTTTTTCACTAGCACAAATGTTGCAGGTTAATCTCAATGATTTCCATAGGCCTAATATAGTATGGGTGCATAGTAATTTATTTAATTGCTCCCTACTGATAAATATTCATGTTGTTTCTAGTTTTTTGTTTGTTTGCCATTAGAAACTCTTTTATCTACATTGTATAGGGGGGAGACCACACAAACATCTTTTGACAAGCTCCATGACTCTGTACCTTTTTGTGTATGTGCAACAAAAGAAACTCTGGATGGACTTTCACATATGTTGACTCTTTTTAGAAAGAAGACAAGCTTGGCTTCATAAGTGGCCTGACACCACACTGAAGTTGTTCATCTGTAGTTGCATTTGGAGAACAGCTTTTAGGCATGAAGCTTCAGATGCCCTTTGCAAGCTGATTCCATTAGACTTCCTTGGCTTGTTTACTTTGAAATTGCTGGAGATGTTTTTTAGCACATTATCATGGTGATTCAGAGGGCAGGTAATTCTGTTCCTGTCTAGTCACATCTGCAGCTTAGGTTGGGAATTACACAATCCTGCTTCTGCCTCCTATCTCCCCCGTCCCAACACCACCCCAGAGTGGAGTTTTTCATTCTGGTGATCTGGTCCGTTTTTCATTTGGTTGATTTGCAGGCATAAACACATTTGTGGCGTTTAGTGGTTATGTAGCTTTTTTTCTTTTTTGACTTTTGACCTAAAAGATTGATTTTGTGACTCATTCATAGTATTTAGAATAACTAATGTAGAATCTATAAAATCTTTCCCTTTGAGAAGTATAGGGGGATATGATTCTGATTTTGATTGATTCTGATTGTGATTATTGTGATTTTGGTTTTTAATATAGTATAATAAAACCTAAATTTATTCTGTGAAACTCCCAAAAGCTGCTTTCCTTTTGAGTGGCTGAACATATTTTATTCCTCTGTTGCTAAATTTGTCTATTGATAAATTGTGCCAGAAGACATTGTAAAACATTTGAACAGCAAAAAGAGTTTGTTCACCCATTTGTACCCCCAATACTCTTAGAGTATGTTACTTTGGTTTTTCTCTAATATCTTAATCTAGTAAGAAACTTTTTGGATGATAGGAATATATGGAGAAATGAATTAAGATAATACAGACTTTCTAATAAAACTGTTAAGTAAATTTAGATATTTTCATTTGTTACTATTAAAATAGGCACTATTAATGGAATTGCCATGACGTACCTGCTTTTTCTATGTATCTTGTTTGGTGAGTGTGGGGTATGCACTCTTTGCCCCCTTACTGCCCCCTTATTTCAGGGGCTCAGGAGAAGCTGATCACTGGTGTGAAGACTCCAGAGCATCACTGTAACGTCCTTCTCGAGCGCAGGCTGGGAATGTGCTGTTGGGAGACTAAGATGCATATTTGGATTTTTTCCTCTGTGCCCTGCCATGACTTTGGCCTTTCGGATGGTTTAGGGAAGGGCTTAATTTATTATTGTTTATTAAATTAAACTCACAGTTTATTATTATTACAGGGGCTTAACAGCAATGAGTCAGCTTTTGGATTGAAGTGTGGGCTCGTAGGAATAGCATTTGAAATCTCCTGGATACCTGTGTCAGACTTTCCCCTTGGGACTCACTGCCTTTGTTGCTTTTTGTTTTAACTTTTAATTTTTTTATTTATTGATTTTTAGAGAAAGGGAGGAATGTGTGTGGCAGGGGGAGCTCATCAGTTTGTTGTTCTACTCATTTCTACGTTCATCGGATGACTCCTGTATGTGCCATGATGGGACTGAACCCGAAATCTTGGCTCATTGGGACAAAGCTCCAACCAGCTCAACTGAGCTGCCCAGTGAGGGCCTCTTTGTTTCTTTTGTGAAACTACTTTTGTGTGCTGAATGTGGCTCTCTGCTCTTGTGTAAGGAACAACCCTGTACTATCAGCCTGGCCTCCTGTACGGTGGATCCCTGGAACACGACTGCAGTGTCCTTCGCAGCATTGGCTATTACCTCGAGAGTCTTCTTTGCCTGGCTCCGTTTATGAAGAGCCCGTTAAGAATAGTTCTGCGAGGAGTGACCAATGACCAGGTGGACCCTTCGGTGAGTAGAGGGGCCAAACCATGGTGTGATTTTTGTCTTGTCTCTTGTTACAACCCAACTTTTGAGAAACAAGTCCCTGATAAAGCACTGGTTCATTGTTGAGTGTATTTTTGTTGTTGTTACTTACCTTGAGGTTTAGAGGTTAATCACTCCAGGACACGGGTGGACCAAGATTCATAATCAGTAAAATTCAGTGGCGATTGTTACCCTTCATCTAGGTGCCTTTCATTGTCATGTCTAAGAACCTGCCGAACAGATACTCGCAGGCTCGTCATGGTTGATAAGAAATACGGCTGGTTGGCTGAAGTGTGCGAGAGAGGGAATTTTGGGAGGGCATGTGATAGCAGAGGCTGGAAAGTAGACTGAAATTTTAGACAAAAAATACTGTCCTCTTGGTACTGCTGCAGCATAATCTTGACTTCTTTGGGCTTCAGTCATAAATTTTAGGGTGTTCTTCATCTGGGAAGAACTTGCAGATTTAGAACAAAGGCATAGGGACAGGGACAGTGTATGGAACTTTGATAGTTTGTGGGCACCAGCAGTCTTCTTATTAACAGGCTAATTCTCCTGCATGTAGGGGAGGATAGTTTAATACGCAGGTGGAATTTTCACTGTCTTAGTGCCAGTGTAGGATGGGTTGTGTGTGTGTGTGTGTGTGTGTGTGAGAGAGAGAGAGAGAGAGAGAGAGAGATTGGAATAGTCCTGTCCAGGCTTTCCTTAGACCCTCTCATGGAGGGAAGGATCCTCACCTTTGGATGCTCTGCTGTCAGAGAAGGGATCTTAATTCCTAGGGCCATGATGTGAAGCCCTGACTGAGAACACATATGTTCACCTCTGCCGACAGGGAACTGAGACTCATGAAGGGGCAGCAACATCGTAATAACTGTGTACAACGCCAGATGGGTGCTGGAGATACCAGGGGGGACCCTTTGTAGAGTATATGATTGTCTAACCGCTATGCCATGCAGCTGAAACTAATATAAAATACTGTTGAATGTAAACCATAGTTGAAAAAATTTTTTAAATTTACAAAAAATTCTGAAAACAGACAAGCAAACAATAAAGGGGTGGCTTCTAAAGCAGAGTGTGACGTGTGTAACTTTTCTAACCAGGGAAGACCAGTTAGGTGGTTCATTGAGCCGCAAAGTGGACAGTGCTGGTACTCACCAATGCACTGATTAGCGCATAAACCTAGTTAATGTGTTATCAGGCAGTGAAAGACTTATTTCCCAGTTCTTGGGAATTCAGGTACATAAACTCTTTTCCTAGAATCTGAGTACATTGTATGATCTGAAATTCTTAACCGTAAAGAAACATTGAATAAACTGTTTAGAATTTTTAACTAATTTCAAAGGGTTGCTTTTTTCCTACATTATTCTGGAAAACCGTAGGAAGTAGCCCTTGAGTTAAAAGTGTACTTGGGAGGAGGCCTTTGCGTGTGTAGATGGAGGGCAGGCGCCCTGAGCAGCGGGAACGGCTCCAAGTGCACGGCAGGCTTTGGCACCGTGTGTCCCAGTTTGGTGCGCTTTCTATAATTGCTGGTGACCTTAAAGGCTGTTACACTGGCAATATTTTAAAAAGTTTATATATTAACAAAGATTAGTTGATGAATTCCCCAGAAAGAGTATCTGTACTTAACTCTTTTATGCAGAGTATTGTAAAAGAAATCTGTTTTCACATGTTACAGGGCTCTCTGCTTTAGCTAGATGCAAGACTAAAATGACCTTGGGTAGTACTTGGCTCCAACCCAGGATAAAATAAATATACCTAATCTTGGAACAAAGATAACTTCTTCAGCTTGTGGTCCCTTCATTTTGAGCTTTCTTTTTAATATGTGGTTTCCCCATCGGTTACTGTCCACATTTACTCTCTGCACCAGGATGAATATGATGAGTTTCTCCTTTAGGGAACTCGGTCTCATGGGTGGGCATTGCGAACACATCTGGGGAGATTACAAGGCCAAGTACCTCTGGGCTCTAATAGAGGTACCAGTAAAGCACTGAGGGTTGAGGGGGGTTTTCTATCAGTCTGGTATTGGGGGGACAAGAACTCTGGAGCCTGAGAGGAGAATGAATTGATGAGGGCTGCCAGTTAGTTTGAACATAATGGAGATGAAAGTAGAAAGGAAGAGACAGATATAAAGGACAGTGTGGAGGAGAAACTTCATAATTTGACAGCTGATTGGAGATGGACTAGGAGGGACTGTCCTGGTTGACTAGAAGGCTAGATCAGAAAGTTTCACACAGGGAAGAGGAAAACTGTGGTTGGATGATGGGCGATGTGTTTAATTTTGGTACTGTTCCTAGTAGGTTGGGAGGGTATCCACAGGTGGTTGTCAACAATAAAAAAACAAAATAAAGCCTATAGTTTTTTTTTAGTTTTTTTTTAAATTCTTTTTTATTTTTTTTAAATAAAAAAAAAAAAAAGGGAATGAGTAGGAAAGAGAACTGTGGCAAATTAGGCAATCCGGAAGGTTAGATAGTGATTCCTGAAGAGCTGAGGTCAGAAATATTTTTTAGATGAGGAGAGACTTACACCTGTTGTGGGCTCAGGAGACGCTGTAATGGAAAAGGAAGAATTGAGGAGGTCGGGGGATTTGATGAGGGTGACTCCCGCAGAAGTCCAGAATAGGGAGCGGGTGGGCGTTGAAAGCAGAACTGTTGTGCTGAGCCACCTCCCCTTTAACTGCCTGTGTGTGATGGGCGGCATCAGCAAGGTTATGACTCAGCTGTTGAATAATGTGTTTGGTTTTCTTTGGCTTTGGAGTGCTACAAGCTTTAAAGGTAGGGACATATTCCCCCCTCCTCAGAGGCAAAAGGATAGACAATGAGGAGGAATTCTGAGGAGAAGCAAAGTTGCAAGATGTTTTCTTTGAATCTCAGTGATTTGGCACCAGAACCCCCTGTAAATATTCATTGGTGCCAACACCCCGGCCAGGTGGTGAATGAAGATTCCATTCTTTTTCATTCCCACCCTGGAAGGGGAATGAAGTACAATAAAGTCTGCTGTGTGCTGGGCCCTGTTCTAGTAGATGAAATATATCTATCTTTTTTTAATTCTTGAACAAACCATGAGGTGGGTGTTCTTGTCACTATTTGAGACAAGATAACTGAGAGCAGTTTCTTCCCTTCTACTTGGCATGGATCTGATGACATTTCTGCCTGTTGGTTGATCAACTGAACTTGTCGGGATGACTGACACCTTTGTCCTGGGGTCAGACTTTTGCTTTTTCTCCTTAACTACAGAGTGACCGCTCAGTTTCCCATAAGTAGAACTTGCAGCCCACCCCCACTCAGCACAAACTAGTGTGCAGAGCCAGCGGAGACAGGAACACGTGCCGTCCAGCCCCTTGTTTTGCACAGCACGAAGCCAGGGCCCTGGGGAGACAGGGAAGCGTCTGGCCTCACAGCTGGTAAGAAGCAGAGTGGGACTCACGCCCACATGTGCTCTTCCAGCCCTCGCCCCGCCACACCGAGTTGCCTGCCCTTCAGCTCAGATGGAGGGTGATTTAGGAGTTGGGACGGTGCCTAAAGTGATACGCAGGCTTCTGGCTGACCCTCAGAGTAAATCTTGATTTTATGCTGTATGACTCCAGGTATTGGTAGGGTGAGCCAGAAGGACTGTTCTGTTTTCTCGCCTTTCTTGTCCCCAGGGGAGCTGGTGGCTACCCAGTTCCAGGGAGTCAGGTAGATAAGAGTAACCCACATCCTGTATCCCCTGGTTTTTCCAGAATCTAGCTTGGCCATCTCCCCAGCTGCTCTAAATACCAGCCTAGACTGACTTCTTCTTGGTTCTGGCAATCCCAAGTGCATGTGTTTAGTATCTGGGTATGTTCAACTTTAATATGTAGTTTGAAATTAGCTAATCTTCAATGAGTTTTCCTAGTAACTGCTGCTGCCTCTCCTGATCCATTCTCAATAGGTTCCTAGGCTTCACAGGTCATTTCTACCTCAGGTTCATTTTCTGATAGCAGAATATGTAGTTGGGGCCTATTCTCTGCTGTAAAGCCTTATCGGAGTATCATTCTGTTCAATCCGGGCATGTTGGGTGGTAGCAGCTTGGAGACAGACAGTCTGAGACCCTTACCTTAGAGTCAAGGAAAGTCAAGACAGTTGGGACCTTGTTGTCTGAGGCCACGCTGCTCAGTAGAGGCAGAGGCGGGGTCAGGGCCAGCGCGTTCCCCTGCACCCCGTGCTCGTGCCGCCTGCTCCCACTGCCTCTTGCTAGGGTCAGCCACAGTGCTGGGGAACGGCCCTTTGCCCTTTGGGAGCAAGTAAGGAAGTAATTTTCTTTCCCATGGTGCAGTTGAGGCAGCATTCACTCGCTTGTTAGGTCAGCGTGATTTGAATGTCATCCTTACACTCTGAGGATTCCGCAAATGAACAAGAAAAGGACCCCGGGCCTCCTGTGAGTTTGGAATAGGGAGGAGATAGCAGTAATACTTGGCATCGTCTTGCCATTAGTTGTGCAGTTGTGGGTTTGTCCTGCTTCAAGCCCCCTACTGCCATCACTTTCTTGTAGAGCCACCAGCCATCTTTTAACTGCCTGTGTGGCAGGCATCAAGTAGCTGTCACGTATATTTTTTTCCTTTGCCTTTGGACCTCCATAAGCTTTAAAGATTAAACAACCATGTTGGGAAAAGATTAATACAAAAATCTGATATTTTTTCCAAAGTGTTTTTACCTAAAAGAATGAGCAGAGGTCCCAATTTGTTTTCTGTTTGAGCCCGACAGTTTTTTATGCTTTTTGCTTGAGCTCATGGTGATGCCTTTGTAAGGTAGGTGTAAGTCTCCGTGCCGTAGGTGAGGAAAGGGGCTCAGAGGAGTCAGCGGCTTATAAAATCTCCGTTTTACTCGGGAGCAGTCATTCCATGCCCTCAGTTGTAAGCCAGAGTACACATCAGCTGTCTCGTTGCTATGCCTCGGCCTGCTTCATGAGCTCTTTCCCATTTGCTCAAAATTTAATGGAACTTTTTTTTTAAATTCTGAAACAATTCTACAGGTCGATGTTCTTCGGGCAACAGCCCTCCCTCTTCTGAAACAGTTTGGAATTGATGGTGAATCACTTGAGCTAAAGGTAAGAATTTATGAATTGTTACCTGTATACAAGTATATCCATGTAAACCATTTCCTTACCAATTCATTGGAAGAGCTGCATGACTCTGTGTGTGTGTGTGTGTGTGTGTGTGTGTGTGTGTGTGTGAGAGAGAGAGAGAGAGAGAAATAGACAAACAGATATTAGAAGTCACCATTTATGAGAAGACCCATAAGACATGAACCAAATATTTCTTTGAGCTGAAAGGGGCTTTTGGTAAGGACAATAGTAGCCAACATTTATATTGCTCTACCTTTGTGGAAGGCACTGTTGCAAACATTCTACATGCATTTATTCTTTACTCTTCATTACACCATTTATGTCCCTCAGCTGATAAGCAGTGGAGCCAGGATTCTAGCCATAATGCCTCTCTAATCCGGATCATCTAGATATAATTTATGTCCAGAGCCTTCCAACTTGGATGCCCCTGAGAATTTTTAGTATTTTCAAAACCTAGTAGAAGGAATATAAGCATCCATTTGTTTCACTTGAAAGGAATTATATCAAGTTGGTGTGATAATACAGGATGTCATGAGCTGCTTAGCATCTCTGCTTTTTATGGAGCAAATGACTTTATTTTTAATAGAGTCATGCGTTGCATAATGACATTTCGGCCAAAGACAGACCACATATACAGTGGTGGCCCCATAAGGTAATGGCGCTAAAAAATACCTGTCACCTGGTAACACAGCTGTCATAATATCATAATGCAAAACATGACTCACATATTTATGGTGAGGTTGGTGTAAACACACCTACTGTACTGCCAGTCATGTGAGAGCATAACGTGATTATGTGTAATACGTATTGCTTGATAACTGGTAATAAATGACTGTTACTGGTTTATGTACTTAGAGTATGTTATTTATCATATTTTAGAGTGTATTCTTTCTACTTGGGAAAAAACTTGGCTATAAAACATGCTGTGTTACAGTGGCAGCAGCTTCATATATGTTTACCATGTCTCATTTTCTTTTGTGCTTGATTCAGTCTTGTGGCTTTTTTTCTCATCATGGCCCCTAAGCAAACAAAAATCTACTGTTAATATTGCCAGTAAGAGGCCACGTTGAGTGGTTGACTGGGAAACAAATTAAAAAGTGGTTAAGGACTACACAGGTAGAAAACCAGTGATGGTTATTGCTTGCCACCAGGCATGTTCCATTTCACCATAGATAGCTAAGGTCTTGAAGAACAAAAACAAAGTGACGGAAGCTATTAAAAGGGTCTGCTTAAAGGCAGTGAAACCAACAAAAATTATAGAAGGGCCTGTATCAGGCACAGAGAGACTTCTAATGACCTAGATTATAGATCAGACACAGTAGTTTATCCCTCCCAGCACTATGACAGTCATGGCCGAAGCAAAAAGTTTGTTTGTGATGTTGAAAGAAGGGGCTGGACTCGATTACAGTGTTAATTTATTGCTCACTCTGGGTGGTTTAAATGATTCAAGAATGGTTATTCATTATAGTGTGAAAGTGAGTGGTGGGTCCGTGAGTGCTGATGTGAAGGGAGCTCAGGAATTTTGGGACACTCAGGATAAGCTGATTGTGGAGGAAAATTACTTGCCAGCACAAATATTCAGTGTGGGTTGAACTTCCCTATTCTGGAAACAGATGCCTGAAGAGACTTTGCATTCATAAGGAGGCCAAGTCAGTGGCAGACTTTTAAGGACAGGATAACAGTCTTGGTCAGGGGGCAGTGTTTCAGGTTACAAACTGAAATACTTAGTAGCTGGCATGCAGTTAGGACCCACAGGCCTTTAAGTCTGTCAGTAAGTGCACCCTGCCAGTGAAAAGAAGTCCTGCATGACCCAGCTCCACTTCCAAGGTACCTTCCTGAATTACCGTTGTCAGTGAAATGGGGCAGTACCATTTGGAGAATTATATACTGTTTAAGACGTAATAATTATGATGTAAAGTGTATGACTGTAATTTAGAGTTCTAATAGATCAATTAACTGCATAGGAGAAAACAGTTGAGAAATGGGATTAATGCATGAACTAAGCCAGTCCCTCATTTTAAGGATGAAGACCCACTTGACTTTGGGACATGCTGGCTCTGTGCCGCTATTTCTGAGACACACTGTAGGGTGTCCTTGCTCATCATGTGTCCTCTTAGAGCTAACATCAGGTGCTGCTGACCTTGAAAGGATTGCCAAGTTAAATGTGAAAGAGCTGTGTTCCTTCTAAGGGAGAGCCCCTTGGTGTAGACCGTACTGGGTTGGGTGTCTGGGTCATGTACTTTCTGTTGCATCCTTGCCTCTTCTTGCTCACCATCTGTGCAGATTGTGCGACGGGGAATGCCTCCTGGAGGAGGAGGTGAAGTGATTTTCTCATGTCCTGTAAGGAAGGTCCTGAGGCCCATTCAGCTCACAGATCCAGGAAAAATCAAACGGATCAGAGGAATAGCGTATCCTTTTTACATTTGTTCAGATTTCTTATTTTTTTCTTACCTCATGAAGATAAGAGTGACTCATAACAGCTTTACTTCTTCCCAGGGTTATTTGCATTTTAGACAACAATCATGGAAAAGTCTTAACAGTGAAATTTTAATGGTCGGCTGGGATATGATGCTTTATTATATGCCTCACCTTGACCAGATTGATTGATTCATTTATTTTCTTTCTCTCCTCCCTCCCACCCTCCCTTCTTCCTTCCTTCCTTCCTTCCTCCCTCCCTCCCTCCCTCCCTCCCTCCCTTCCTCCCTCCCTCCCTCCCTTCCTGTCTATTTTATCTATCTATCTATCATCTATCTATCTATCTATCTATCTATCTATCTATCTATCTATCTATCTATCTAAATCTTTACCATTTTCCCTTTTTGCTTAACACTGAAATGGCTCCCATGTATGTGATCCTCTCCTGAGGGCTTTGGTTTGGGGGCCACCACTGCAGTTGCAGCCCCGCCCTCAAAGAGCTCACCATCTGATGAAGGAAACATATGTAAGCACATAGTTCTGATGTAATGTGTGAGATGATATAGACACATGTGCAGTGGGCTGGGGGAACTAAGCACAGAAAGAGGTTAGTTTTGTCTGGAGGATGTAGGAAGGCTGGAATAATAATATCTACTGTTTGTTAAGTGCTCCTCTGTACTTAAGGGATAATTATTTTATACATTTCATTTAGTTTTAAAAAACTACTTTATTGAAGTACAACATGAGTGACATCCAAAAAACTTCATGTTTAATGTATACAACTTGACGAAACTTTGGAAATAAGAGTATATTCATGAAAAATAATGTCATAAATATATCCATCGCTTCCAGAAATTTCCTCTCATTTTCTTTGTTTAAAATTTTTTAAATTAATTTTTGACAATGCTTGATATCTATCCCCTTAGCAAATTTTTAAGTACTGCAGCACACAATACAGTATCACGAACCATAGGCATTATGTTCTCGGTGTATAGAAATACAATTGGTTTTTGTGTATTGACTTTGTATCCTGCAACTTTATTGAATTTAGTAGTTTTTGTGTGTGCTAGAGCCTTTAGGGTTTTCTGTGTATAAAAGTATGTCATTCGCAAACAGTTTTACTTCTTTCTTTTCAATTTTGATGCCTCTTAATTTCTCTTTTCTTTCCTAATTGTTTTGTTGAATAGAAGTGGTGAGGGTGGGCATCCTTGCCTTGTTTTAGTTCTTAGAGGAAAAGCCTTAGGTTTTTCACCACTAAATGTGGTGTTAGCTGTTGCTTTTCATGCATGATCTTTATTGTATTGGTGTAAGTTCCTTCTGTACCTAATTTGCTGAGAATTTTTATCATGAAAGAATGTTGACTTTTGTCAGATGCTTTTTCTGTATCTATTGAGATGATCATGGTGATTTTTAGCCTTCATTGTGTAATGTAGTGTATAACATTGATTGATTTGCACATGTTGAACCAACCTTGTGTCCCAGAGATAAATCCCATCTTGTCATGGTATATGATCCTTTTACTCTGCTATTGAATTTAGTTTGCTAGTATTTTGTTGAGGATTGTCACATCCATATTCATCAGGGGTATTGGCCTGTAGATTTTTTCTTGAAATGATTTTGTCTGGCTTTGGTGTTAGGTTGATATTGGCCTCATACAATGAGTTAGGAAGTGCTTTCTTCAGCTTTTGGAGGTTTAAGGTTAGCTCTTTGGTGGAATTTGCCAGTGAAGCCATCTGGTCCCATGCAGTTTTTTGTTGTCGGGAGGTTTTTGATTACTGTTTCAATCTGGCGCATGTTATTTGGTCTGTGCAAGCTCTCTATTCATAATGGTATTGGTAGTAAGTAGGTTTTACGTTTCTAGGAATTTATTCATTTCTCTAGGTTGTTTAATTTGTTGGTGTAAAATTATTTGTAATAATCTCTTATGATCCGTTTTGATCTCTGTGGCATCAGTTGTAATATCTCCTCTTTCCTGGTTTTACTTATTTGTGTCTTTTCTCTCAGTCTAACTAAGGATTGGTTGATTTTTGTCTTTTTATGAAGCCAACTCAGTTATGTCAGTTTTTATAGTCTTCTGTTTTCTGTTTCATTTATTTTTGGTTTAATCTTTATTATTTCTTTCCTTCTACTAACTTTGTGTTTAGTTTGTTCTTACTCTGTTTCCTTCGGGGTGTAACATTAGGCCTTTTGAGATCTTTTTGTAGAAAGAATGTAGACATTTATCGCTCTCAACTTCCCTCTTAATACTGAATTTGCTGCATACGTTCTGGTATGTTGTGTTTTTATTTTCATTTGCCTTTAAATATTTTCTAATTTCCCTTTTGATTTCTTCTTCGACACAGTGTTTGTTCAATAGTGTGTTGTTTCATTTCCATGTTTTTAAGTATATTTTATTGATTATGCTATTACAGTTTTCCCAGTTTTTTCCCTTTACACCCCCTCTGCCCTGCACACCCCAACCTTCCAGCATTCCGCCCCCACCCCCCTAGTTCATGTTCATGGGTTGTACATGTAAGTTCTTTGACTTCTTTTTTCCTGTACCATTCTTACCTCTCCCCGTCTATTTTATGCGTACCAATTATGCTTCTTATTTCCTGTACCTTTCCTTCAATTCTCCCTCCTCCTTCTCCCCACTGAAAACCCTCCATGTGATGTCCATTTCTCTGATTCTGTTCCTTTCTAGTTTGCCTAGTATTTGTTTACTTTTCTTTTTTTTTTTTAGGTTCAGTTCTTGATAGTTGTGAGTTCCTCGTCATTTTACTGTTCATAGTTTTGATCTTCTTTTTCCTAGATAAGTCGCTTTAACATATAATAAGGGCTTGGTGATGATGAACTCCTTTAACTTGACCTTATTTGGGAAGCACTTTACATGCTCTTCCATTCTAAATGAAAGCTTTGCTGCATAGAGTCATCTTGGACCAGGTCCTTGCTTTTCATGACTATGAATACTACTTTCCAGCTCCTTCTGGCTTGTAAGGTTTCTCTTGAGAAATCAGCTGATAGTCTTTATGGGCACTCCTTTGTAGGTAACCCTTTCCTTTTCTCTTGCTGCTTCTAAGATTCTTTTCTTATCTTTTTTTTAGATTTTATTTATTTATCTTTAGAGGGGAGGGGAAGAAGAGAAGGAGAGAAACATCAATGTATGGTTGCCTTTTGTGCGTCCCCTGCTGGGAACTGGCCTGCAGGGAACCAGCCTACAACCCAGGCATGTGCCCTGACTGGGAATCGTACTGCAGTTGTCTGGTTCGCAGGCCTGCGCTCAATCCACTGAGCTACACCAGCCAGGGCTCTTTTCTTATCTTTAATCTTTAATAACTTAATTATGATGTGCCTTGGTGTGTTCTTCTTTGGGGTGCAACTTTTGGGGGACTCTCTGGGTTTCCTGGACTTCCTGGAAGTCTGTTTCCTTCGCCAGATTAGGGAAGATTTCCTTCTCCAAACTGGGGACGTTTTCCTTCATTATTTGTTCAAATAAGTTTTCAGTTTCTTGCTATTGTTCTCCTTCTTGCACCCCTATAGTTCGGATATTGGAATGTTTAAAGTTGTCCCAGAGGTTCCTAAGTGTCTCTTCATTTTTTTGAATTCTTTTCTTCATTCTGTTCCAGTTGGATGTTTAATTTCTTCCTTTTGTTCCAAATTGTTGATTTGAGTCCTGGTTTCCTTCTGTCACTCTTGGTTTCCTGAATATTTTGCTTTATTTCACTTTGGGTAGTCTTCATTTGTTCTTTCATTTTTCGACCAAGCTCAGTCAGTTCTGTGACCATCCTGATTACCAGTGTTTTGAATTCCACATCAGATAGCTCATTGCTTAGCTCCTCATCGCTTAGCTCTTTCTCAGGAGTTTTGCTCTATTCTTTCATTTGGGCCCTATTTGTTTGTCTCTGCCCACCTGTTAAGTTGTGAGGGGGCCGGGCAACCCTCTTTGCTGCGCTGTGGCACTGTCTGGGGGGGGAGGAGTCAGAAAGGGAACGATGCAGCTGGCTTGCTGGGCTCTAGCCCCACTTTCCACCAAATTCTCATGTGAGACTGGGAGTTTCTCCCACTGTGGCAACCCCTGCCGTAGTCCACAGTCAGTTCTGAGTCTCAGCTTCCCATTCAGCCAGTCCTGCCGGTGCGGTCCACCACTGTGCCCCTGATTCTCTCCACCCATCCATCTCCCATCTTCCTCCTCCTCATCTTGTTCACTGTTTCTTTAATTTCTCAGTTTTGGAGTTCCATGCAGTTTGATTTCCTGGCACTTCTGGTTCTTTATTGATTTTAGATTGGCTGTTATCCTCCTTTAGGTTGTGTGAGGAAGCCAAGGGTTTCTATCTGTGCCTCCATCTTGGCCAGAAAACTCTTTATTTCTATATATTTGTGGATTTTCCTGTTTTCTCACTGCTGTTGATATCTAGTTTTATTCCATTGTGGTTGGAAAAGATACACAGAGTGATTTCAGTCTTAAGTTTGTTAAGATTGTTTTATGACCTAGCATGTGACCCTAGAAAATATTCTGTGTGTACTTGAGAAGAATGTATGTTCTGCTACTACTGCATGGAATTTTCTGTATGGTTTTTAGGCCCATTCTGTATATTTCTGCTGGTCTGTTGTTTACTTACTAATTTTCATTCTGGGTGTTCTCATCCATTATTGAAAGTGGGGTATTGAGGTCTCCAGCTACTATTGTATTGCTCACTTTTTCTCCCTTCGGATCTGGCAGTGTTTGCTTTATATGTTTTAGGCACTCAGATGTTGAGTACATACATATTTATCGTCCGTATATCTTCCTGTTGAACTGATCCTTTTATCACCATATAATTTACCTCTTTGTCTCTTGGGACTTTAAGGTCATTTTTGAATTAAAGTCTGTTTTGTTTCATATATTTCGTCCTCTTTGGTTGCCATTTGCATGGATTAACTTTTTCTCTCCCTTTACTTTTAGTCTATACATATTCTTAAATCTAAAGTGAGTCTCTTATAAGCAGAATGTAGTTGGATCTTGTTGTTTTATCCA